ATATGTTTTTGTTTTATAAAGAATTATTTATTTAATTTTATTTATTCATTTATTTTAATTTGACCAGAAAAGAGAGAGAGAAAGTGAGAAAGCAAGTCACCGGGTCCAGGACTTGAACCATGGTCAGTCATGTGGGAGTGTCCAGTGCCTTAACCACCATTCCACCTGCTGGCCCCCCCTAATACTTTTTTTAAAAAGAATTATTTTATTTAACTTACTTTATTTATTCTTAATTTGATCAGAGAGAAACAGAGTGAGAGAGAGAGAGAAAAAGAAAGTGAGAAAGCAAGCCGCCAGGTCCAGGATTCAAACCGCGGTCGGCCATGTGGGAGTCCAGTGCTTAAGCACCATGCCACCTGTTGGCCCCCTGTATCTAACATGTTACATTGTTTTTTTTTCCTCACCTGGAGAAGCCTAGAGTAACATCAGAGAAAGCTATCTATATGACGTATATATTTATAGATATATAAAATATAAAAATACATGGGGGGGTCATCAAAAAGTTCAAGGTAAATGAGTATTATGAAAGAAACTATTCATAGATCTCAAAAGTTTTGCACCAAAATAAACTCACAGGTTGATTCCATTTTCCATGAACTTTTTGAATCCTACTCATATATGTGGGATAGTTCAAATAGTGATAAATGCTATAAAGAAAAATAAAGCAGGACCAGCAAGTGGCATGGTGGTTAAGGTGCTGGACTCCCACATGGCTAATCATAGTTCGAGTCTTAGACCTGGCAGCTTGCTTTCTCCTTCCACACATCCCCCTTCTTTTCTCTTTGGAGAACATGTGTGCCCTATAGCAAATGAAAATAACAACAATTGATAAAATTACATAAGTAATTCCTTAAGAAAAAGAAAGCGGGGAAAGGAAATGCAGGAGGTGGGATAGAGTGGGGCCAGTTCTCAACAACGATTTCCTCCGTTGGTGGAATAGTCCAAAAATGCTCTCGTAGGCACGGTCTCCTGCTGCAGGATGATTCTGGTCTAAAGCTCCAGCAGTGGGAGTGCAGAACAGGTCCAGGACTCTGTGATGGGTGAGCTTTTATTACGTCACCAACAGCAGAAGCACAGGACCAGTTTGGCCAGAAGCTTCAGCACTCCCTATCGTTCCTCAGTGAATTCCGGGAACCGAAGTCATATGTCTCTAGCCGCCACGCTTATGGAGCCAGTGCAGACTTAGAAAGAGGACTTAGGTTCCCGGTCTTGCAGCGAAGCGGTTGTTGCCATCGACTTCATCAAGAACAGAAGGCCCGCCCGCCCTGGGCAATGGCTTCGGTGATGACGTCTCACCACAGCCCACCGACGAGCTGGGTGGGAACGAATACCAATGTCTTTTTTCTCTGCATACTTAGCTGAAATATTGAACCTCGCCTGCTCTGAGTTAAAAGTTCATAGATAAATCGTAAGTTTGGATGGACATACTCAGAGGAAGACTGTCCACAATCACCGCAAGTTTTCGCAGAACAATTAGTCCCTTTCTCTCAAGGAGAGGGCAGCTGCAGCCTGCTGAGCCTTCGGGAAGGGCAAATGTGTCTGGGATTTCAATTCAGCAGGCTCAGCGTGGAAACCCTCGGCGGGCGCCTCTGTGCTCTGTGGCTGGAAGGACCGCTCCAATTCCCGGTGCGTTTGAAATCAGCAGCAAGGTGACTGCAAAGAGCATTTGCATTTCTCCTTTTAATACCATTAGAATATTTCCTTGCTTTTTGGACTGAAGAAAAGACAGAGTTTAGGTGTTTTTTGTTTGTTTTGTTTGTTTTTTGGAGAGGTTTGTGCCAAAGGGCATGTGCGCTCACTAGACAGAGAGACAGAGAGACAGAAGGCAAGAAATCATCCCCCAGGGGGATGGCCATGCCACAATCACTTCTCCTCCATTTTCCTTTCAGGATCTTGGGCACACACGCACACGTGCCCAGCATGAGTTTAAGTCACCGGGTCCGGGACTCAAACCGCGGTTGACTACATGGGAAATCCAGCAGCATAGCCATTACGCTAACTGCTGATCTCAGGTGTTTTTTTGTTTGTTTGTTTGTTTGTTTGTTTTTAAATGACTATTTTGGAAGCAGTCATCACCGTAATTCTCCTTAGGGAGGAAGTTTATTGTTCGGAAAAATATTTCGAAAGGCCATTTGGGATAAGTCAGATGTTGATATGGGTGCAGATGTCAGTAGAAACCAAGGATCCAAGGAAAGAGGACATTCGGTGGGAACTGTCACAGAAAGGAGGGGAGAGAAGGACGAGGGATGAAGGGAGGTGGAAGAGAGGAAGCGGAGACCGCGGAGTGGAAAAGGCCTGCCTCTGGCAGGGAGCAGGCAGGGAAGGGCAGGAAGCCTCCACTGCAGTGGGGAGTCCGAGAAGCATTTTGAGATGGAGGATGTCTGTCCCATAGGACCCTGTTTGGGTGTAAACCCCTCCCGTAAACTTTAGTCTACTAGGATCACGGACTTTCTGTGGGCTGTCTTGTGAAAAGTGAAGAGGATGCTGAGTTTCTCCTTGGCTTACCGTGCACTGAAACGGGGCTCTGTGACAGAACTCTGTGATGATGGAAATGTTCCATTCTGCAGGGTCCAATATGGTAGCCTCTCATCATGTGGTTAGTGAGGGTCCAAAGTGAACTGGGTTTTAATTTGGTTTAACGTTATATTAAATAGCCATATGCAAGAACACAGGGGGAGAGAGAGGTGGCATGTGCAAAAGGAAGAGTTCTAAGTCAGGGTGACACTGAGAATGCAGCCACCTTGGGATATGCAGAAATCCTGGGGCAGACTTGCGATTTTAAATGGAAATAGAATTGGGGTGCTAAAGGGGTTGGGCAGACTTGATTTTACCTAGATTATCAGGTTAAGGAAACCCCAAACTGAGAAAAAAAAATCCTTACACAGACAAATAGAAAGTTTCTAAAAATGGTGAGGGTTTTTGCTTGCTTGCTCGCTTGAAGCAAAAACACAAACAGTTCTTTGTGTCTGCAAATCTCACAGAAAATGCAAAACAACCAAGATGGCAGCAGCTCAGGGTAGGTGCTTAATAAATACCTGCGTTGCTGGGTGACTGAGTAACCCCAGCATCATCTCCCTTGACCCTTACAATAGCAGCAGCTAAGGCTCAGAGACGTTAGATGGGAAGTCCAGGAAAGTCAGGATTCCTGGTCTTCTGGTGTACCCAGTCTGTCCCTCCACCTGTCTCTGCCCTGGTCAAGGCAAGGGAGTGTGTAAACATGAGTGAATATTCCAGGACCACAGACATCTGACAAAGCTCTGGTATGCCACACATTCATGGGGTGCTGATGGGCCATAGTCTCGCTCCTTCGACTGGGAATCCCTCTGTGGTAGAGCCCATTCTACTGGGTTATCTGAAAAGTCATGATGCATTTTTGCATAGAAAAACACGTCATGACTTTCCGATGACCCGTAGACCCCTCTCCAGACCCCCATTCCCACTGCCTAGACACATAGCCAGCTTAAGCCAACACTGAGGGACTGAAGGAAAGAATGAACGAGATAACGAAGGTGGTTTCTCCACTGACATTAATGTTGTTGTTGTTGTTTACTCTGAAGAAACAGCATTAATGCACCATAAAGACATTACTCCCCGCCTAAGTCCCTGTGGAACATCTTCCCACATCATGAACGGAGCCAATTCTCAACCACTCCAGTTGTGGACTCTCCAGGGTTGGCTCAGGCCTGACACTGCTCTTCAGGATTTTTTTTTTTTTTTTTTCCTGCCATGGGTTTTGTGGTGCAGTTTCAAAAAAAAACTGATGGTTTATGTGCTGCAGTTCCAAAATGGGAATTCCTGAAACTTACACCCTGAACTCGTTCTGCCATTCCAGTCCTTGGTATGCCTAAACTCCAAAAACTAGAGAAAAACAGTCGTACGGAACAAGTCTACCTGCTTTTCTTTGTTAGCAGATGCATTAAAAAAAAAATCATACATAGTAAAAAGAAGCTAATAAAATGAGAAAGAGTGGAGATGCATCGACTCAAGTTAAATTGGGTCTTTCTTGGTGTAAAATCTAGATTTTTAAGGCATCAAATAAATAAATGATCAGTCTTAAAGAATGCTCCAACAATATTCCTTAGCCTATGACACAGGAATGGTCAGTGCTAACAATGGCTTCGTGGACACAGACCCAAGTGTGAAATACATTTTATCATAAGATGAACTGAGAACAGTCAGGCTTGTGAAGATACTACAAAAAAGGAGCACTCCCAGCCGAGACCTCCAAAATTTCTGACGTGACGATTCAGGACCACTTGTCAGTTTCTCCCAGGATTCCCATTACTAAGTCAATCAGCTGGCCTGTCCCACCTACTGACATGGAGACAGCACCTTGTACCTGCAATCACGGCCTCTCAAGGAAGTTACTCTGCGCAAATTAAGAACTGAGGAAATTCAAGGGGGATACTCACTTTTTACTTTATACCATGCCTGGATTGTTTCAAACTTTTACAACAAAGTAATACTAAGTGCTTGGGTAATGCAGTCAACTCTCGGTATCCAAGGGGGATGGATTGCAGGACTCCCTGTGGATACTAAATCCACACGTGCTCAAGTCTCTTATATAAAAGGGTGTGGTATTTGTATTTAACCTACATGCATCCCACTGAATACTTTAACTCATCTCTATATTACTTATATTACCTAACTAAAGGTAAGTGCTATGTAAATAGTTGTTGTATTGTATTTTTTTTAGGGAAAAGTGACAAAAAAAAAAAAAAAAGTCCTTCCAGAGGGAATCATCATCAACCTAACAGCAACAGTGCAACATTTTCTATCCCCAGTTATTGAATCTGCTGATACTGAATCTACAGATGCAGAGGACCAATTATATTTTCTATTGGTATTTGACTCAGTATTACTTTGCTAATTGCTTAAATGTTTTACAGCAAAATTGCCAAAATACTTTACTAATTAAAAGAACAACTTTAAAAAATGTGCATCCGTGACTTCAACTGGTGGTTGTTGGGGGCTAGGGAGCCTGGCGAGGCTGAACTCACCTTCCCAAAGCTAGCAGCGTTGACAGGTTGGGTGTCGTTCTTCTCACAGAAATCTAGGTAGTGCATGTAGAGGGCGCTGCGGGGAATGCAGACCCCTTCTGCGATCTCGTAGTTCTCCTCCAGCCTAGGGAAATAGACGTTGGATCAGCAAAAGATGCGCTACCTGCCCCAACGGACAGGGGCTTGCTCTTTTTAGCTTTTCTTTGGAGCTGGTAGACCTTAGAAATAATTCTCTTCCTGTGAACACAAGGGGAAACTGGCCCAAGAAGACAAAGTAAGCTGCCCAAGATCGTGTACGGAGTTAGTAGACCAGCAGGATCAGATTCCTGACCCCTTTGGGTTATGACCCAGTTCACTTTTCCAGTCCAGATTCAAAGGCCCTCTTCTCTGGTCTGGCAGTGAGAATCAGGTGCCCCTAAACTCCAGAACTATACAGGGTCTTAGGGATACCCCACTCAGCCAGGCTTCAAGGCTTTCTAGTTATGACTCAAAAATTCAGAAGTCACAAAGAAAAAAATGAATAAAATCAACCAAGTAAAAATATAATACTGTCTGCATAGCAAAACAAAATAATTCTATCATAATTAAAATTAAAATGACAATCTGGGGAAACAATACCTGCAATTCGTGTGATAGACAAAGCAAATTTCCCTAGCATATAAAGAGCTTTTATAAATCAAGAAGAAAAATAACCCGTTTTTTAATGTATAAAGAAAGGAGTTCACTCAAAAAGAAATACAAATGGTTTGGGACCAGCAGTTAGCATAATGGCTATGTTGCTGGACTCCCACGTAGTCGACCGTGGTTCGCGTCCTGGACTTGGTGGCTTAAACTCACGCCAGGCGCGTGTGCATGCGTGCCCAAGATCCCGAGAAGAGAATGGAGAAGGGATTGCAGCATGGCCATCCCCCCTGGGGGGTGATTTCTCGCTTTCTGTCTGTCTCTTTCTGTCTGTCTGGCGAGCATACATGCCCTATAGCAAAAACCTCTCCAAAAAAAAAGAAAAAGAAAAAAAAAGAGAAATATAAATGGTTTATAAATACCTGTAAAACTGCATACCTACACTCCTAACAGAAATGCACAATTAAAACCATACTGAAATACTACATTTAACCTATCAGACTGATGAAGAACATAAACACTGATAACATATTATATTGGTAAGGATGTGGGCAAACAAGTACAATTTTGCATTTCTGATGTACCGAGAAGCTGACAGAACCATTGCCAGAGCAATCTGACAATGTAAAAGTGCTCATACCCTCTGAGCCAGCATCTGACTATGTGAAATTCATCCACAAATAGACACATGTACTGGAAAGCAGCATGGGCTGATAGAACTGTCGCAGTTGAAGACTAAGTAAATACGCATGTGAAAGGCAATGAGATATAAAATAATTTCTGAAGGATGCTACACTGAAGAGGAGAAAGCAAGGTGGAAAAAGTAAACGAAGTGTTCCACTATGCAAATACAAAAGTGGGGAGACTATATGTACATATTATATTTTATATATATATAATACTGAACAGATATGCAACAGGAGGAAGCGGGTGACAAAGGAATGGAATTTAAACACTTCACTGTACAAAGGCTAGCAGGTGGCGTGGTGGTTAAAGTACTAGACTCCCATGTGGCCAATTGTGGTTTGAGTCCCAGACATGACGACTTGCATTCTCATCTTCCCTCTCTCTCTCACTCTCCATCTCTCTCTGGTGAGTGCATGTGCCCTATTGCAAATTTAAAATAGTAATAATAATAAATAAATAAAATTAAAATTAATCATTCTTTTTTTTTTAAAAAAAAGACTTCATTGTACTATATTTTTCAAACATTAAAGAAAATAAATTTGCCAGAGTGCAAATTCACTCACTGGAGAGAGACAGAGAGAGGGGAAAAGAGGAATGGTCATGCTGAAATCCCTTCTTCTCCGTCTCTTCCTCCTTCCAGGATTTTGGGCACATACACACAGGTGTCCACTGTGTTTCTCAAGCTGCCAGGTCTAGGACTCGAACTGTGCGGTTAATCATGTGGGATTCAGCTGCCTTAACCACCGCATGAATTGGGCTGGCCCAATTCTCAAATATTTAAAACTTTACTATAGAAATTTTTTTCTGCCCACATCCAACCACGCAGATGACCAGGTGAGATTTGGCTCCTCAACTTCTAAGTCACAGAGCTGGCCCATCTAGTTTTGTTCTGTTTTGAATTCTTTATCCTGAACATCAGGACTCAGGCATCCGAGTGAATTCTGCCTCTGTTGCTATGGACAAGCTAGAAGGTTAAACACCTCTTCTAACAAAACAGGTCCAACCTGGGACAACTGGGAAACTGTCCTCGGGTCCTGGCCTTTGAAGCTTTGGACATATATTGCTTAATAAATTCACCAATGGAAACGAGTCTCCTGTGGTCATCTCCTTTGATTATAGGAAACAGCCCAAAGTCACTGGCAGCCAATTTTGGGGGATACATTCTAGAATTACCCTTTTCTCTAAAACATGGGAGGGGATGCTAAAAAATAAGGCACAATTCTCAAGCAAAGAAATAGATGTCTTCAAGCAGCTTTAGGCTCTCTTTGAGAGCACTTGCCAAAGAAGTGGCCCGGCGCTGTTGTAACAAAGTGGAATGAGGACACAGCCACCCGAGGTGCCCACTGGCTAGGGCACTGCTCATTCAGCACATTCCAACATGTGACTGAGAAAGAAAACCAGTTCAGTCACTTCACATTCACACCCCACGGATGACTACAACCTAGGGACACTCAGATTGGTGACGGAGCCTGGTGCTGAACGGTCCTAACTCATCTTGTCCACTCCCTCCTCTTCGGGGAAGGGGAACTCTGTGTAATTTCTGATGGTTTTTTAGAAATGTTCCAGAAAACAGCTATGTCATCCTTTCTGGGTGACCCAGTTTCTGAAGCTGGGATGGTGTTTGAGTCACTTCTGCATTCTCGTAGTTCCGCATATTCTTTGGCACACAGTAGGTGCTCAATAACTGATAGATACATTATTTAGTCATTTATTTATTCAACAAATGTTTATTGATCTCGCATCACCTGCCACGTGCTAGAGATTTCATGGTGGGCAAGATGGTATAGTATGTTTGTATACAGTGAACAGATTAATAATGGTAGACAGATGGTTAAAATGCAGGTAATTTTATTTTTTTTGAAAGATTTTTGGTATACGGAGGGTACACTCTTTGGAGAGAAAGAGAAAGAGAGATAGAAAGTGAGAAATCCCCATCAGGGCAGATGGCCACGTTGTAATACCTTCTCCTCCATTCTCCTCTTGGGATTTTCAGCATGTGTGCACATGCGCCCAGTGTGAGTTTTAAGTCACTGGGTCTGAGACTCGAACTGCGGTCATCTATGTGGGAGTCCAATGCCTTAACTACTACACTCCCTGCTGGTCTCTATGTGGGTAATCTTTCATTCAACAAATAGTGACTGAGTGCCAGGCAGTGTTCTAGACATGAAGCAAACAGTGATGAATGAAGCCAAGTGCCTGTCCTGCCAGGGCTTGTATTCTAGTGTATGTGTACCCAGCATCATAAACTGGAACTCTAGCTGTGTTCCTATGGGAAAATAGTTTCAGAGAGAGAATAGGTCCTTGGCGCTGTCCTAAACTTCAGGTCCGGTCTGAATAAAAATCAGCCTGTGAGGTTAGCCTGGACCCCTAACCTTTCTCGGCATTGTTTCTACTTAAATGTGAGGTCAGAGGTTCTAGTAACTGGCTCACACGTCACTTGTAGGGCCATCTGAATAAGACAGCATCCACACACTGGGGTCTCACAGGCATGCTTTGTTTGGCCTTAATCGTGTTGGTCCAACTTTTAAAATTCAGGACATTTCACATAAGAATCTGGATCTGGCTTCTTTTGAAAAGTGGAGCTCTGGCAAAGCTGAACCATATTCCCGCACGAAACAATTGGCCAGAGTTCCATGTGCCCCGGAGGTGGCCAGAGCCCTCGCTCCTCCCTCTTTTTCTTACACCCCCATCTGCTTTCTGTTTCTCGTCTGGCGCTTGTGTTGGCACAAGGCACACTCTGTGTCCCAGTTCAATTTTGCAGTCTACTTGGGGGAGAAACAGGAACCTTCAGTGCTATAAGCCCCTGACCATGGAGCAGCAGAAGGGGAAGAGATCCGCGTGCAGATGACAGGCGATAACTCAGGTTTCATGGACTTCTTGGGGCTGGAGTTTGTAATGACAGACACTGGCATCAGCTAGTGCCAGCTGAGCTCTTGCTGGGTGCCGGGCTGAGCTCTTGCTGGGTGCCGGGCATTAGGTCCTCACAGTAGCCTTCTGAGGCAGGTCTTACGCCTACTGTTCAGATTAGGAAACTGAGACACAGAGAGTGGAACTCATTTGCTTATGGTCATGCGACTAGTAAGTAGGAGAGCCTGTCTCACTCCAAACCGTGGGAGATGGAGGTAGGGCCAAGCAAGAGGAACAGCAAGAATGGAGGCTGGAGACAGCGCTCTGAGTGGAGAGTGCTGCTCGTGAGGTGTCTGAAAAGAAAGAACCTTGGGAGTGTGCAGAGACTCTGAAGCCACAAAGGAATACGGCTTGGCATAAGAATTTCAATGACCCCTGGAGTGGGAGCTACTGTTAAAATGTCATCTTCAGAAGAAGGCAGTGGTGTGGTACTCAGAATTGAAAAAATGAAGACTCAGAAGCAGGAAGACCCAAGCCTTTCTAGGAGGCTATAAGACTAATAATAATCTCATCAACAGGGCCAGCAGGTGGCATGGGGGCTCAGGTACTGGATTCTACATGGATGACTGCACAGTTTGAGTCCCAGACTTACAGCTTGAGAATCACGCCAGGTGTGTGAATGTGCATGCCCAAAGTCCTGAGAGAAGGGACCGAGCGAAGTGATTTCTCACTTTCTCTCTCTCTCTCCCCCTCTTTTTCTCTTTCTCCAGCGAGTGCACATGCCCTATAGCAAACTGAAAATAATAATACATTAAAAAAAATTAAAGTAATCTCATCAATAAAAACAATAACTAAAACTTTCATTTAAAGCTTACTATGTTCCACTTGCCAGTAATGGATTGGAAGTAGAAAAGAATGTTAAAAATAAACAACAGAAAACCTCAAGTCTCATAGATTTCATCTTAGAAT